TTCTACCCAATTTCCCCCCTTTAAACAAGTATGAAAGGGGAAGGAGATTTGATCTTTTCCCATGTCCCCTGAGGCCTCCTGTGGTCAATGTAGTATTGGTCATGGTATAACTTTTGCTGCTGGTAACCCACAACACTGCATGCTCTTGGGTAAATGTTCCTTCCAAACTATGCCCTGAAGGTTCTGCCTGAATCTTCAAGGCAAAATCTTTTTTTTCCTTTCCCTTCTTGCTTTGATATTGATGCCTAATCTCCCTGGCAGTAAAGCCAACTTCACTAATCTCAGTATACATAACCAGATTGCTTGCAAAAGGCGTAGTACTGCAGGTTGTTTTGTTGTATCTTGCCTCTGTATAGAAGCCTAACCTTTTTACAGTGATCAAAGGAGACCTGACCCCTTTGGGCGTGATCTGTGTGTAACAGCAGACTAACTTTGTGGCTGTCAGCTGACTTGCTCAGTTAAGTCTCTGTGTGAGGCTAGTCAATGGGAATCAGTCTTGAAGAAAGAGGATATAGTAAAAGATGGGAAAGAAATCACTATGCCTCCTGGTTGCTTCTGTTCTGATTGCCTATTATGTTTACAGCCCGCTTCCAGAGAATATCGAGGAAGGCTGGAAACTGATGCTGATCGATGCTGGCTTTAGAACCTTAGGACACATGGTAAGTGTTTTAGATCTTCATTTATTCTCGGGCTCTGCATTAGAGATTGCTCAGATTAAAAATGTGCATTAGGCAATGAAAGAAAATGACAAGGGCAGCAGATCAGGAGATCTGCAGCAGATCAGGTTTGTGCAAAATGCGAGCTAATAGTATATGTAACTGAATGAATGATTGGGAGTGGTGGAATGAGGGGGGTGGGGTAGAATAGTATAGACCTGGTGCATTCTCTCTGTGTATAAATAGCCTCTCTTTGGGTATAAATATTCAGTCTATTCAAAGGAATGCCAATGGAGGAAAAGCTACCTACTTGTTAAAATGTGTTGCTTTCAGAGGTTCTGCATTCTGTTTTCTCTTTAATTTATTGCGCTTCCTGAGAGATATGAGCGGGATGCTCACTACTGAGGCAGAAAAAATCCACAACACCCTTTGATAATGGTTTTACTTACCATGACTCACATAGCCCAGATAGTTTTTAGTCTGCTGCATGGATGTTTTTCTATAAATAGCCAGGGCCAATTCTGGAAGTAATCAATCAAATATAAAGTGGTTAGAATGTTTCTTGTTAGTAATGTAATTTCTAATTGAAATTCTATGTGGGAGGGAGAAAACTAACCCTCTTAATATGAAACAAGTGGGGTGTAGCTAATGATCTGTAAGTAGAGTCATGCCCATGATTGGAATCACACATCACTTTCAATACTTTTCTTTAATGAATTGTCTTTTTATTTGTTCACACTCACCTATGGTTTCAGGCTTGGCACTGGGTAGTTTTTAACTGGTCATGTAGTAATTTGAGTGTTGGAGAGCAGGGTTTGAATTCCTGTTTAGCCCACTAAGAGTGTGAAAGCCACACTCTCTCAGCCTCAGAGAAGAACAACGGCAAGCCTCTTCTTAATAAATCTTGCTAAGAAAACAGTGTGATAGATTCACTATAGAATCATCATAGGTCAAAAGCAACATCAAGGTGCAAAACAACAATGTAGCAGTTACTCAACTTGTTGAGACTGAATTTTATCTTTTTCACATATGCTAATAGACACAATGCCTGCACCATCCAAAGATGATAAGAGAGGGAGGGGAACATGAAGTGCAGTTTTCTTCCTTAATACATGATTTCTTGTATTTTGCTTGCTAAATACGGCTACTGCAATGAACACAGATAAGCTCTTTTGCCTGCTGCTCTAGTGAGAGCAGCTTTTCTGAATATTTGCTGAGGTGTGCAGAAAAGCCACTCTAAAGTCTCATGTGTGACGGTAGCAGGGTGTCAGCTTTCATGTGACTGCAGGGCGAGTTAGTGATATCTCAGGAGGTCATAAAAATACAGCCTTAGAAAATAAGGAAAACAAAGAAATCAGAAACGAGTTGGCAGACCAAGGGAGCAAAGGACAATTCAAAGTGAGGCTAGGCTGTGGGTAGAAATTCAGAATCATGGAGACTTTGTTTGCATAGGAAGCTGCATAGCAGAAGAAACAAAAGAGAAGCAGTATAATTAGCAGGGATGGAGGGAGATAGAAATTTGGGGATGTGAATATTTGATTGTTTCATTTTTGAAAGTAGAATGAATAACCTTCTCACTTATCTCCAGTGCAGATAAAATTAATATCTCAGTGTTTCAGAAAATTATCTTTGCAGAAATAAACGTGTGCTGTTTGGGGGTTTTGTTTGCCTGAAGAATCATGGTTTTCAAGTAAAAACACTGTTTTCAGAAAGCCATTAGCATTATGTGTCCATGTGCAGTGAATACAGAATGCCGGGAAACTGTAGAGGGGTGTGGCATGGCATATTCCAGGACAAGGTATGATTGGTGAACTAGAATCCTGAACCGGACCACTTTTCATTGCAAGAATTTACCACTGGCCTCATTTAATGAAGATGAATTTTCCTAAGGGTGATATAGATTTTTTTTTACATTGAAAGCCATTCAGGTTGCCCTCATTTCCCTTTCCCTTGATGTATCTCTATATCTGTTTACTATTTGTCTGTCAATCGTATACACCACAAGGGTTTCTGAGGCAATGAACAAACAGAAATGATTAAAACTTCTGGGATGGAACACAAACACATGTGATTTGCAAGAATCTCAATGCATTTATTAATAATATTTATTATCTGTTAAGGACTTTAAAAACTACTCAGTAATAATAGTGTGATGATGCACTTCACTTCTCTTTCTCAGTCATTTCTCCTCATTCCATTGTTTTAGAATTGTGATTCTTAGGCAGTGGACTATGCTCCCTTGAGTGTACGATCAGGATTCCAGGGTAGGTTTTTATAGTTTGAAAAAACCCATTATATTTTATAATTTTATTTTCTTTAGAAAATGGGGATTTTGTACATAGCTTGTTCCATCAGCCTATGCTGCATAATAGTGTACCTATCATCCTTTATCTTTTTTAAAATCTGTAGTGTGGAGTTCCTTATCTCTGGATACTGGCACTGTGCACCCCCTATGCAGCTCACTTAATGTTCCCCCAACAAATCTGACACTTTGTGGCATCAAATTGTTGCTGGTGTAAGCCACCCTGAGTCCCCCCTTGGGGATTGATACGTGTGGGTTAGAAATGTGGAAAATAAATAATAACAAATTTTGTTTCCCAGCACCAAATATTTACATCCTCAAATAGATTCTAAATTTACAAATGGTTTAATCTGCATTTAATCATGCTATTTTACATCCCAGATAAAATTACTGGGCAAGATAGGTTGAAAGAAGAATGAGATATTTATATTTGTACTTATAAAATGGATGCATGGGTTAAGGATTAAGAAACACTGCTTTGGGATATTTATAGTAAATTCTTCTTTCTGCTAGCTTCCCTAATTGCTCCTTGGCTCATCTCTAAACCTCCTGACAGTCATGGTCTCCTACTGATCTACACACCCTTACTGCTTGCTGGCACCATTTCATTTGTTGTTGTTGTTGCTGTTTCATGCTGTTAAGCATTTCTTCATAGCTCAGGACTTTCCTTCAGGCTGTGCATTAATTGCCTGCTTGGATTGCAGAAGTTCCTGTTTGCTTGTAGGTCTCAAAAGGACAGGGGAGGGGAGGCAATAAATATTTCTGAATTTGCTTAATGACTCCATCCCAATAGGAGCATAAAGCGAGGGAAATGCCTTTCTGTTTTGTTTAAAGAAAAGTTGATAATTTATTTGCCACCATCACATGTGATATACTCTGTCAATTTCTACAGAAATTCTCCACTTTCTGAGCTATCACATGGGCAAGTGTATTCTCTCCCATAGTGCTTTCTTTAATAATAATAATAATAATAATAATAATAATAATAATAATAATAATAGTGGAATAGGATAATCAAATCATTAAAAATATCTCTGTGACGTGAAAAATTCTATACTGAGGAATCATTCATAAGAAACCACCCTTCAATAAATTAGCCAAATTCTGTTTCTTCTATCAAAGACTAAAACATGTTAATTGAGCCTAAATTGTGTGTAGGTAAAGGTAAAGGTAGTCCCCTGATATTAAGTCCAGTCATGTCTGACTCTGGGGTGTGGTGCTCATCTCCATTTCTAAGCCGAAGAGCCAGCGTTGTCCGTAGACACCTCCAAGGTCATGTGGCCGGCATGACTGCATGGAGCGCCGTTACCTTCCCGCCGGAGCGGTACCTATTGATCTACTCACATTTGCATGTTTTCGAACTGCTAGGTTGGCAGAAGCTAGGGCTGACAGCGGAAGCTCACACCGCTCCCCGGAATCGAACCTGCGACCTTTCGATCAACAAGCTCAGCAGCTCAGTGCTTGTGTGTACTGGTATCCAATTCAGTTCACTAAAAGAATCCAGAATTACTGCTAGGCTTTGATATTTACATATAGTAAAGACATTTGCACAAGCCAATTCATGCATGCTTCAGGACTGTGGGGCTCAATTATGCCAGCTTCCAAGTCAGTGGAGTGGTGAATTGGCTGCTCATTTTAACCCAGGATTTTAAGGAAATATCCAATGTATTAAACCCTATCCTTATAATAGATTGAGTACCCTGGATAGCTCATTTAGTTTTCATTCTAATGATTAGAGTAGATAAACTGCCAGCCTATAGTGTTGGGGAGGGGAGGGGAAGACGACAGACAGAAGATCAGGAAACTGTTCATTCTACCAAATTTTGCAAATAGCCTGCTTATACTTGTGGTACATACAATCAAGTTGTATCTTGCCTTGAGCCAAGAGGAGAGGCAAGTGATAAATAAATAAAGAAAATTATCATGTCTATAGGTGCACGCAGGTTTATGTAACATCATGTTAGTAATGATAAATCCAATCAAAACTCATTTTGGGGGGTTGTGGAGGAAGTCAGAATTATTTAGCAACCACATATCAACCACAGACTCCTCCAAACTCCCATTCTAAGTGAGGCAGCACCCCCTCGTCCTTTAATAATGGCATTTCCATCTTGTTTCAGAGCAGAGGCAGCAGTAGAGACACATCTAACTATTTTCCTATAGCTGAACTTGATGTGAAGATGCCATCTGCTGAATCAACTTAAAGGATCCCCTAGGAGATCCATGTGGATGCTTTTTGAAGGGCATCCAGATACAGGAAAATAGCTGGATGTATCTGCAGCATTCTCCTCATCCTCTCCAAAGATTTAGCTAAAAGATGATTTTGGGATGTGTTGGAGATACAGCTATGAGGTGACATACCAGATATATACCTCATTTGTAGCAAATAAACACTTTGGTTGTTTTTTCAGATAATCACTTACTTGTACAATTGGTTGACTTATGTATCCTGACAGCATGGAATGATATGACTCACTAAAGAATGCATTTTTTAAACGAAAATCAGTGAACACTGTCAGTTATTACAGGTTTACAATATGTGCATGAAGAAATACTTTAGTCATAGGTGTACAATGAAAACAATTGAGATTGTTGCTCCAAAAGGATTTTTCTCGCTCCTTAAGCAATTCATCCTCCTACTCAGTGTTCTAATGTGTGCTGAGAGTTTTAAAGTTCTTGTTTAGCATTAGTGTACTACATA